TCTTTTTTCAAATTTCCAAAATTTTGAAAATTTTCCGAGATATTAAGAAAAAACTAAAGCCCCATTTTTTTCACTTAATTGTTTATAACTTTTGTAATTTTTATCGGCGCGTTTTCGGACCTTTCATTAAAATTTCTAGGCAAAGATACGAATCGAATGACACCTTGGTCGTAATTTTTGGACAGGGCTGAAAAATGTTACAAAAAAAAGTACATGTGAACTAGACTAAAATGTTTTCAACGTAGTCGAATCTTATGAATATGACATTTTGGAAATGGACATTCATGGAATTCATTGATGAATTTTTGATCTGTACATTATCAACGATTGCTAATATCCTCAAAAGAAGTCAAACAGGATAATTCCGCATTAACCACAATCCACATGTTTGAAATCACTAATCCAATATCTGAGTGACCTAGCCACACCCTTGAGTCGAATGTAGGTCAGGCCAAGATAAATTAGGTTAGAGAGCACTTTGCCAAACAGAGGTCACGAAAACAGATTCTGGAAATCATATCGAAAAGTACGAACTACATATGCGTTTATAAATATACCATCCAGGGCTGGATTCAATTTTCGTCAGAGGAAACTGAAATTTGAATTGAAAGGGGTATAATTTTAGGAGAGAATAATTTTTGGGAAGAAAGTTCTTGGCTCTCACATTTGCATTATCTACACGGAAAATCGCGGAGAACTCACCAGGTAAGGAAGAGAGCGATGAATTTTAAAATAAACTGTTATATAATCATATTAACACATCAACAATATCACTATTCAACAGATTTGTATAGTCGGAGTAACCGGTATTGTGCATATTGTGCAATACAGAGAAATAAAACCGCTGCCAACTAGTCCACGTGGACTGGAGAATTGACGGTTCGTATTAGATAATTTTTACTAACCGAGTTTAATGATAGATAGATAGATAGATATAGATAGATAGATAGATATTTATTTAGATATGTAACTCATACATGATATGGTTTATAGCAAGTCAATCACAATTAATATATCATATTGAATGAATATATAATAACATAATCTAAAAGCCTTCAGGTATACAATATAAAATATATCACAATCACATAAATTGGTTAATACACCCTAGACATCCGA